ATGCAATTTTCTGATTCATCAAAAAATCAAGTGTTATAATTATGCAGCAAAAGTAGATGATTTCATATTCATTTCCAAAATATATTTTCAATACAACTCAAGAGGATACTTCATTATCATATGTGGCATGCTTGAGGTTCTTTCATTTAAATATGCTCAATTGATTGATCGCCTCAGCAAAACTGAATGAATAGGGCCAGATGATCATTACAGTACTTATTCTTCAACTACTTGGGTTCAATTTGAACTTTTTTTGAACTTGAACTAGAGATGTGCCATGTATAGTAACCCTGATTTTTTTTCATGAATAGTGCACATAGTAGTGCATAGTAGCACATAGTGTATAATGAAACTATTTTTGAAAAAAAATAAGTAGTTTTGGCCAATACTACATACCCAATATTTTTTATACATAACAACAATCATATAATAAATATTTAAATCAACTTTAGTTTAAAAGACTTAAAAATAATTTTGTCCAATTTCCACTATTATTAAATCAGTTTCGCCCAAGCTTAGGCCAAATAAATTCAGCAATTTCAACCTATATACATATAGGTAGTTTTGGCTACCATCTGGCACTTAACATAATTATGGCCATAATATGAACACAGATGACATGGTTTTTTGAAACCTACTCCAGATCAGCATAGATAAAAATCCTTTTATGTATAGATCGGCGTTACACGCATTTAATAGACAGTTCAAAAAAAGATCAACAATTTATATGTGAAGAGTATGGTTGCTTGCCAAAACTCCTCTGGCAGAGTTTTGGCAGGTAACACACTAATTGTTTGTTAGAGTTTTGGCAGAGTTTTGCATTTAGGGATTTTGACAATTGGCAGAGTTTCAGCAGGTTACACACTAATTGTTTATTAGAGTTTTGGCAGTCATTAAGAGGTTTTGGCAAGCAACCTTATTTAGCCTATTGTGAAATTGAAATTTTACACATATTAAATGATATACTAAATATTATCAAATTGGTAGACTATTCAGATGCATTGATTTTAAACCTTATGCAGTAGTTCTATTATGGATGCTGGAAAATATATGATACAACCAAGAGATTTAGCAGTGGTTGTGCAGCTCTTGATCTATGACTTAATAACATTTTGGTGTGCATTACAAAATATGGTGAAAATTCACTTTATTGGCTGACTTTGGTTATGGTATTATAGCTAAGTTTGCTTGCTGAAACCTCTTAGTGACTATCAAAACTCTCATGATTGATAAAACTCCCAAATGTGAAATCTGCTGAAATTCTAATAAACAATTACTGTTAACTTGTCAAAGCTCTGTCTGTCAATTGATTTCTGAAGGAGTTTTGCCCACAACCTTAATTATGGCAAATGAATAGTTCCTTTTGTTGGTGCACCACCAATTTTTTTACCACAATCCATACTTGTTTCAGGATAATCTGCATATTTTTTTGTCATTTCTGTACCTGGAACTAACAACTGACTTGAACTTTCTGGCTCTAATTGATTCCAATATTCAACAACTGATCGCCTATTGGAAACTGCACAATCAAATGAACCTTGGAAGCAACTATTCAAAATGGTAGAAGATTTTGATTATGAAGGTGTTGGTACCAATTTAAAGTCATTACTAATTT